AGTATGAAAATTATTAACTTTTTTTCAAATCCAAAATCACATTAAGGCGGAGCAATATTATCTCAAGAATTAGAAAATACTTTCATTAAAGGTGAAGGATTAAAGGAATATTATAAAACTAGATAAATAATGACTTAGGATTGTCTCAAAGATGTAAATATCCTTTACATAATATAAGATTATATAATTTACCAGTATTTATTATTATTGTATTTTAAGTTCTAATATATTAATAATTTAATATTTTAAAAGCTTGTTGAAAGTAATTCAGAAATTCTTAACGATGAAATAAAAACTTTATTTCAAAATTGCCTTTTCTTTTAAAATATTGAAGAACTTATTAAAGTTATTCAGCCAATTAAAGAAATTATAACTTCCTTAGAATTTAAAACTAGTATCTTGATAAACTGTTTTATTTAGTTAATAAAACTTTCTATGGCTATTAAAATTTATCCAACAAGAATAAATTCTAATTTTATACTTACTGCTTAGAAAAATTCAATAAACGATGATACCAATTTGATTTTAAAATATATATGTTGATATATTTCTTACATTCGCTATATAGAGGTATATAAATTATAAAATAATTTTTAATATAATTATTTAATAATATATTATTGCTATTTTAGGAAAAAGATTTAAAGATGATGTTTTTTGAAAAATATGCCATACTGCACTTGAATTATAGAGACCTATAGGTGGTTCAAATTTAGCTGATAAATTAATAAGATAAATGTTTGCATATAATAAATATCAAAGCCTATATGAATTTAAATTTGTACCTGAAATATATAGTGTATTGACTTAGTAAAAAATGATCCAACAGAAAAAAAATTGAATCTAAATACTAGTATTAAAAATTTATTTTATAGCATCACATAATGCTGGTTATAAAAGAATATTTTCTGTTTTAGGTTAGATGTATTCAAAACGTCGAATAAGGTATTATTTTAAATTTTTATTATTTTCACCCTTTATATTTTTTTTATTATCATCTTAATTTTATATAAATACCTAATCACAGATTATTAATTGAACGAATGCAAGCAATAGCAAAACTATATACTTACTATATCAGTAATGTTTCTTCTGAAATGAATTATACTTATTCGGATCTTACTGATAATAAATTTTATAAAGAGTTAGTGAAAGTTTTAATGATATTGTAGAATTTTCTGATGATGAAATTTAAGAATAAGAAGAAGAATTAAATATAATTGATGGAGATGATAATCTTGTTATAGATAATGAAGAAACTCTTAAATATAGTAATGAGTCAGTAATGAAAAATTATTTTAATTTTGATAACTAAGATTTGCAAAAAGTATTAGGAGTGGAAGTAAGAATGGTTATTGAATAGGAAATAACTGATTATGATTACAGAGAAAAGAATTATAATATTGATGCATTATTAAATACTAATTTTAACAAGTAAAATAGCATATAAATTAGTATAAAACAAGTATCTGTATAATAAAAAAATATTGTTTCATTTTGTATGTTTCGATATAATGAATTATTTTAAAAATTAATTTATTATTATAAAAATTTATATAAATGTGTTTATAAAAAAGCATAGTGATATTACATATATTAAAAAAAATTAAATTAAAAAATAAAAATAAATTAACATCTTCGTCTCTTCTTTCCTTTGAACCTCCTTATAACAATTTCTATTTTGGTTAACTGAAACCTAATTGGAATTTCACAAAATGTTAAAACCTCAATTAGTAATGATTGAAACGTTAATGAAATATTTTGCTAATTGTGTAATATTAAAACTATGACGAAATCCTTTGACTAAAAAATCAAACATTTTATAAATAAATAAAAAAAAGTTAGAAATTTTATTTGAAATAAAAAAAATCACCTCTTTCGAATCTCTGTGCATACCTAATCATATTTAAAGCCTAACTGTTTAAGCCAATATTTCTACAAAAATAAAAGAAACTTAGAAACGTTTCTTAAAGAAAAAAATACATCCACTTCCCAATTTATCTAAATCTTTAAAAAGGTGACATCCTACAAAATAAAAGAAAAAAGAAATGTCAATACATTTTTAAATAAAGAAAAAAAAAATAAAAATCCTACTGTTTATACTCACTTGAAGTTCAGTTTGTAAATTCATCTGGCATACCTACAAAAAATAAGAAAGAAATATTAGAAAAGTTTCTTTTTTAAATAAATAAAAAAAAACTTATAACATTTTGGTCTGGTCATCCAAGTAATCTAATGTCTTTACAAATAGAAAAAATAAGAAAAGAAACATTTTTTTAAATTAGATAAAATAAAAAAAAATCCCATTTACTTACCTCATGTCTATAATGATTTTGTTAAGATTCAAAAAGCAGGCATCCTTATAAATAAAGAAAAATAAAAAAAACTATTTATAATATTTCTTTAAAGTGTTTAAAACCCCTATTTATTTACTTTTTCTATAATACTAAGACTCCAAGCTAGGTCAAAATGAGTAAAAAAAATGAATTAAAAAATTTAAAAAATTGATCAATCGGCAATTTAGCATATCAATCATGTTACTCCAATCAAATCATCAATTTCAACTATTGTGATCAATTTTGACCTCGTAATCAATTTTGACCATTATGATCAATTTTGACTCTCGTGATCAATTTCAACTCTCGTGATCAATTTTGACCATTATGATCAATTTTGATCCTTATGATCAATTTTGATTTTTGTAATTAATTTCGACTTTTATAATTAATTTCAACTTATATTTTGACTATAGTTTTTTTTAAAAAATATTTTAACTTTAACTTAATTATTTCAATTTCATATACAATAGCTTTCAAAAGTAACGCATCACTATAATATTAATTATTAAATCACATGTTTGTCGATCAAAACAAATTTGTTTGATCCAATAATTTTTAAACAAGTAGTCTAAATGTAGATCTTTAAATAAATAAATTTTACCCTTTTTTTGTATGATGAAACTAGTACTATGTTATTATTTTTCCTCAAATCATAGTGTGTTTCTTTTGTCACTTTGTAAAAAAAAAAAAAATTCTGTAAAAAAAATTTTTTTTCTTTGTAATTTATAATAAATATAATAATAAAAAATACTTTTATACTTACATTCTTTTTAAAAACTATTTATTTTTTTAAAAATTTTTAAGCCTAAACTAACCACGAAACAAAGAATATAAGCAATTTTATTACTTGAAGCTGGCTTTAGTGCAAGGGAAATTACCATCAAGATTGGTTGTGATAGCCATTCTTCAATTATAAGACTAAAAAAGAAATATTAAGAAACAGGTAAAATCAAAAATAAGAAACGTTTAGGCTGTTCACTTAAGTTAAATGATTGTAATAAACGTATTATTACAGTCAACTCTTGATATAGCGAACTCTTAATATAACGAATTTTTTGAACAAATATAATAAAAATACTCTTATTATAGCGAATTGGCCAATCAAATCTCTTAAAATCTTTACTATAACCTTATAGTAAAGTTGAGATCTAAGACATAGAGTTCGTTATAACAAGAGTTGACTGTATACAATGCCTAGTAAATGAGAATGTTCAAATGCTATTCAGCTACAAAAATCCTTAAAAACTAGCGATAAAATTGAGGTCAGTGTCAATACTGTTAGGAGAGCATTAAGAAAAAATGGGTTAATAGCCAGGGTAAAGTGAAAGAAGCCTCTTCTATTCAAAAAATATTGTGAAAAATGTCTCAAATTTACTAAAAGATATAAGGATTGAATAGTAAATGATTGGAGCAAGGTGATGTGATCAGATAAATCAAAATTTCAAATATTTAGTTCAGATGGTCACCAATATTGCTAGAAAAAAAAAAGAACCTCTTAAAGATGCTCATATTAAACTTACTGTCAAATTTGGTGATGGTAGTGTTTTTGTGTGAAGGTGCTTTACTTCTTAAGGCGTTGGTTTTCTTTGTAAAATTGATGGTAGACTTGATGCAGAACTTTACCATAAAATCTTGGATGAAGACCTTATGGAGAGTTTGAATTATTATAATTTAAATGTTAGTGATATAATATTTTAACAGGACAATGACCAAAACATACTGCTATACTTACCAAAAAATGGTTTGAGAACAATAATATGGAAATTTTATTATGGCTAACACAGTCACCAGATCTAAATCCTATTAAACATCTTTAAAATGATGTTGACCGTCGACTTAGAGGATTAAATATTGAAATTAGAGGGAAGGATTCTTTATGGGATCATGTTTTTTAAATATGGAATGAAACAACATTAGAAACATGTACTAAATTAATTAAGTCAATACCAGAAAGGATAAATGACGTAATTAAAGCTAAAGGTGGCTACACACGATGGTAAAAAATAATATAATAAAGTTTTTAGTAATATTTTATTAATTATTTTTTTAAAAAAAAAAGTATATTTATTATGTATATAAAAGTGTCAAAAGTAACGCATCAAAGTTTTAATAAACATTATGTGATTAAAAAAAAATGGGTTTATTCATTATTATTAAAATTGCTGTATTATGTTAATCTTATAGTATATTTTATATATAAAAAATATTGTATTAATACAATTTCATATGATTGCTAAACATGTGATTTAATAATTGATATTATAGTGATACGTTACTTTTGAAAGCCACTGTATAGTTAATCCAGAAAAAAAAAATGTTAATTAGTAAAAATTAAATGAAAACTTGTAAATATAATATTTTATCATTAAAGAGAGTGTGTTTTTTTATTAAAAAAAAAAATATTAGTAATTTTGGATTTTTATTATATAAAAAACACATTATAAACAAATAATTTATGGTTTCTTTATACAGCTAAATGCTAGGTTAAACTTTAGAATATTTGAATGATCAAGAAAATAATTTGGTTTTTTTGAAATTATTTTTTATAAAGAAAACAAATATTAAATAAAAACATTTATTAATTTAAATATATTTAAATATACAGTTTTCCAAAAATTAATTTAATTGGCATGTTGGATTTAAATACATTTTTTGGATTTCCTATGAGACCTCTTTTTGATCATTAAGCATCCTATCATTTACCAAAGTTTTATCACCGTCAAGCTCTTGACCTGGAACCACTTCACCTTGTGTTGTATCAATAATTCCTGGTTCAATTGAGAGAATATCTGCTTCGCCACAAATTTGTAAAACTTGTTCAGCTTTTTCGACGCTCATATCACCTAACACTTTATTGATTTTAGTTATTTCGCCGGTTTTTAAAGCTCTTTGGAAATCAACAGGTAAAGTTTCAAAAAGTTGATATCTGGACTTTCCTTCCTCATCTGGAGCATTTTCGTCTGGAATACGAACATTAAGTGACATGTTGGGATCCGTCACCTCGATTTGAATTTGTTCTACTTGCTTAGCAGGTTGAGGTTTCTGTGTTTTTTCTGTTGCCATAATTTGACAACGTTCACGAATACGATCATATGTATCATTCACATCTTTCATGAAAACATCACGTGCTTGAGGATTCGGTGCAGTTATCCTGAGCAAAATATTTATATTAACAAATAAATCATTGTAAAAATAAAATAGTAATAATTATAATAATAACTTACCTCCGGAAGAAAAGTGTAACACCATCTTTTCCAAGTTTTTGACAATATTGTAAAAGCCATGCTTGATGTACAGACTGTTTTGCATACTTGGCTTTTCCTTTCAATTGAGATTGAAAAGCTTCCGCTAAAATTTGGTCAACTATCTCTTGGGACACAACTTCAGGATGTTTTGTGATAAACTTGAAACTCTCATCGTAATCAACAATTTCTGCAAATTCTTTTGCGAGATCTGAAGTTAAAGCTTCATCATCATCATCATCATCATCATCATCATCATCATCACCATTATCATCAACAGCGGGTTTCTATAACAAAAGTGAAAATTTATTATTAAAAAAATTTTGTATGAGATAGGACGCGATAAATTTACCTTCTCAGTATCAAGTGATTTCATTTGAGCTTCGGGATTCAGCACTTCAACAATTTTCTCTTTTTTCTTTTCGGTATGTTTAGGTTTGGGTTTTGGAGGTTCCAATTTCGCGACTTTGCTGACAGACTAATGATTACAAATTATATAAGTACCAAAATTTTGATAAATTAAATTTTAAGTGATACTCACCGACTTATCGAATCCAGTGTGCATATCGTCCATAGTAATCTTCTTTTTAGCATCTCTTTCTTCTTTATCCAATTCTTGTTTAGCTTCTTTTTGTCTTTTACTTAATTTTTCACGATGTTGAGTTAATTTATCTATTAATCCTTCGCCAACTATTTCTGGGCTTTCGTATTTAACTTCTTCTTGAATTTTTTCAAATAAAACACTCATCATTTGATCAAAAGTTGGATAAGCAAGTTTTTCACCTTCACCTTCTTTTGGTTGATCATTTTCTAAAGCTTCTTTATTTTTTGCTTCAATTGCTATTTTTTTATTCTTCTCACGTAAATTTTCAATTGTTTGCAAAAAAGTTTCAACACCACCTTCCTGTAATTGTTTTATCATATCGTTAATACGACCAAGTAATACCTCATTATTTGAGGTTTCAAGTTTAAGGGCTTCAATTTTTCTACGCCTATCCTCGCGTTTTTGATGAATATCCGCTTGTTTCCATCGAATAAAAGAAGCTTTATCTACATTCGGGTGACATTCAAAGTCGTCGTCATCACTAAGTTCAAGTTTATCCCACTTACTATAGTCAATGGGCATTTTTTTTTTATAATTTTTACTGGATAGAAAGAATCGATTTTTTTTTTAAATTATTGATAAATTTTTTTAGAAAAGATTTTGACGGAGTTTTTTTCTCTTCAAAAGAATCATTTTATTTTTAATATTTTTATAATAGGAATTTCTATTCCGAGTTATTGAATCTGGAAACATCCAGAAAGAAAACTTCGTGTGAAAATTACACGTTACACAATCCTGTATAAACGTAAATGGTAAATCGAGAAGAGATTAAAAAAAAAGCGATCTAGCCTCGACTTTATATCTTGGTTTTCTAACATCATGGAAATTTCTGAATTTTATTTACAGAAATACACAGAATTTATCTAGTCATCACATGATTTGAATTTAAAAAGGGTTAATTATGACCTTATTTAAGTCTCCGATTTGATTTATCATTCAGTTTTGATACTTGATCTTTTTCTTGATATAAAAAAAATCAGAAAGAAAATAAGTTTTTGAATATATAGACAAAAATTATGTATAAAAATTCAATCAGGATCCAAGACAATGTGCTACTTTATACAATCTAATAAACAATACTTCTTCCTTTTTGAGTCAATTCAACTATTAAACAATCGGTGATTTGGTTGGTATAAATGTCATGAACATTTTTCTTTCTCACAGGAAAAAATTTTCAAATTGCGAGTTATCTTTAACATGATTCTGAATGTGAATCTATCCAAGAATTATGTATATCTAGGTTCTTCTACGCAGTGATTTTTCCAATCCAAATGATTTTATTAAAAAATTATGCTTCCAGACCTTCCAAAGAGCTTCCAATGGTGCTTTCAATTTTCCAAGAGCACATCACTGCTTATACGCATAAGTATTGATTATGATATGTCGGATCAAACAAAAATTTTTTGTGATCAAATTTTAGGGAATGTATTTCCTCCCATAGGCAATCTCAAAAGATCATATATGCGCTGAGAACATCATAAAAGATTTAAAAAGGGAGTTAGGCATGCAATAAATAATCAGATAAATTACTTCCAATCGTCAATTGTAATTGAATCATTCATCTTTAGAATAAGGTATAACGAAAACGGGTTTAAATTTTTTATTTATTTTGTATTCTTATGACTGTTTTTTTTTTTATTACATATTAAATAATTTAGATTACATTAACGAAAAATATGCTTTTGATTAAAAGATTTATTATTAGATGAAATTAAATATAAATGACTCAAGCATTTATCAACACGTTTATGAAACAATTCATATAAATTTTAGCACAATGAAAATAAAATAAAAATTTTACCATTAAAATATATATATGTATGATAGTTACATATATAATGTATATTTATATATGTATATATATATTATTTTTTCAAATTCTACTTGATGCTCTTTCGAACTTTGTGAAATATACATGATAATCTAAAAACATTCGTGACCTTTCTAATAATTTGGGTTCGGGTAGGGTATTTTCATTATCTTGCAGATAACGTTAGTAATACGGTACATTCGATTTTTTTTTGATAATTTTCACTTTCGACGATCTGATCAGAAATAAAACATTATAAAAAAAAAAAAAAAGAAAATAATATATATATGTATTAAAAAAAAATTTACTCTCATCTGAAATTGGAAAAGTAAAGGGAAGGGGGAAAAAAAACAAAACAAAATAATTTATCACGTTTTTAGGCTACCTCGCCCATCTACACGCCCATGTTCATCATCACGTGTTCTTTTTACTCCATGAAGCGCTTTATCATACCCTCTGTAGATATTTTAATAATTTATTTAAAGATCATAAGAATTTGTAAGAGTCTGAATATAATTAAAAGGTCATCCCCAACGCGGAAACTTGATACCAGGTCGGTTATTAGGAGGGGAAATACCTTTGTCCTCGTGGTGCTACAGGTACTGATTCTTCTGCACCTCCATATCCACTTTGATCAAAGAATGCTGGATTAAAATGTGGTGCGGGAAATCCTGCGGGTCCTGTTAGTGCAGAATATATATTAAATATTTTAACATTTAACTAAAAAAATAAAGCCGAAAGAAAAAAAAAAAATTAACCTCCGCTGAAACCGCCTCCCATACTATAATCTTCACCGTATCCTCCACGCATTACTCCTCGGCCGCCCATCATTCCACGACGAGAGGGAACTTGTCCTCGCATATTCATCATTCCTCCACGTGCTGCCATCATAGGGCTCATGGCAAATGCTGAAGCATCTCCCACGCCAGCAAAACCATTCATATATCCACCGCGACCAGAAGCGAATGCGCCATAAGGGTTCATTTGATTGGCGAAAAAGTTTCTTGGCTCAGGTACCATCTGGCCCCCTCGGAAACCTCCACGAGGATGATGAAATTCCATTCCACTTGGTCTCATAACTGCGGGACGTACGGGAAGGTTTGTAGATGATCGTTGACCACCGGAAGATTGCTGTTGCATTGCTTGTCGAGCAGCTTTTGGCGGAGGTTCTTTAATAAATAAGAAAGTAATTATTGAATAAAAAAGAAAGAAATTATTTTCCTTTTAGGAAAATCAAAATTACCTTTTGGAACAGTTTTGAAAGGATTACCGTTTGCTGAGCTTGTAAAATTAACAACACATTTTTTACCCGTGATTTCACTAATAGATATACATGAAAAAATAAAAAGAATTAGTTAAGATGATCATGTAGCCAAAGTATCAATAAACACTCATGAAATATATACTAACATTGCGTCCAGTCTCTCTTTAACCTTTGTAGCTGATTCTGGTGAAGTAAATTCCATATAGGCAACCCTATTAACAATTAATATTAACAACTATACTATGTCGATTTAATAAGATCAAGACCAATTAAAAAAAAGCTCATAGCTACCCTCGTGATTTTCCGTTCACTTTATGTTCGTAGAAAGTTACATCTGTCACGTCTGGACCTACACCAAGATCACGGGCAATATTTCTAAGATCCTCGTCTGTAGTCCACTATTGAATTTTTTAAAAAGTAAGTTTTAAGTCATACTTTACATAAATGTAAAAAAAAAAAAAAAAAAAATTTTCGAGATTTACCCAATTCAGTTCATTAAGGTATAGCGCGTTTGTAGCATTTGTTACTGGTTTGCGATCTGGGAGTTGGTGATTCATACCATTGTTTGCAGAAGAAACTCGTGGCACAGCATTGTTATGACCTATTATGACAATATTTTAACGAAAAATAGTTTTATCATCTTTTTATTTGTAAAATTACAAAAAAATTTTACCTAATATTATAATACCCTTATAGTAAGGGTAAGATATTAATAGCACAATATTTTACCTTCAAGAGTCATAGTTTGTATAATTGCCTTTGAATCTTCTTCGGTTCCTTCCATTTTCACTTCAAAAGCCTATTTTTTAAAATCGACAATAATAATTCGAGCAAATACCGTTCAAATAAATGACGAGATTATTTGGAGACAGGAACAAAGAAAAAGGAGAAAAAAAGCAAGGATTTGTAAGTTCACATTGATACTCTTTATTTTTTTTTTTCTTTTCTTTTTTTTTTTTTTGATTCCACGGGCTCTATTGGATTGATGTACAATTTTTTGAGGATTTGATAGTTTTACTTGTCACATATATATATATATATATATATATATATATTCTTATATATTTATACAATCTTTTCTTTTTTCCTCTTATATTACAGTATTTTCAAATGATTATAATGACAAACTATCAAATAAATAATCTTGAAAAATTATAAATTAAAACAATTAAGTGCAGACAAACAAATGCAACAGAATCGACACAGAAATTAAGAATGAAATATGAAAGTTTGAGAGAAAATGCAATGTAAAGAAGCCTAACAAAGTTCCACCCATCCTTATAATACAACACAGCGCAGTTCAGGTATACATATACAGCTACTTAAAAATAAAGGTAATAGAAACATCGGAACCAGCTGCGCTGTGAAGTAATTACGAACCTTTTCACCTTCCCCGAAATCAGCAAACAAATCATCGTCACCATCCTTGTTTTCATGAATATCATGCTGGTGGTCTAAAATAGATACATTATAATCTAAGTCGTTATCTCTCCTTCGTTTGGCTGGTCGACTTTCGTCTTCATCTAAGATCTCGGAATACAAATCTACATGCTTTATTTTTTAGAAAATTAAAAAAAAAGAAAAGTTGCGACTTCAAATTCTGAGGCCTTTTTGAAAACAACTAAAGAAATCTTTAACATACTTCTCCATTTCCTCCATCAAAGTTGCTATCATTGTACATATCAAACTCATCAGCCATTTTATAAAGTTTGACCGACTTAAAAGTTTTTATTCTTTAGATCGGACTCTAGATTAAACAAAAAAAAAAAAAAAAAAAGCCTAAGGTGTATCAATCAGAAGTTAAAACGTCTTCAATATAGCACTTTGACACTTATATATGCGAACTTAAAAGGAATTCCGTCAATGATGGGAAATTTGATTATTAAGAAATTGACTGATTTATTATGATAAAGTTGGTGTAATTACTATAAATAGAATAGGACAATACATTTTTTTTTCAAATTTAGTATAGGTGAAATTAATAATTAAAAATTTTAAAAAATTTATTAATTTTACTAATTTAATTAATTTAATATTTAATTATTATAAATAAATTTAGCAAAATTAAAATATAATCTGTAATTATTATTTAATTTATTTTATTTTTATTTATTTTGCAAATCTTTGATTATTATTTTAAATTTATATCATAAATAAATAAGTAAAAAACTAAACTACAATCAATCCTCTTTAAAGAGAAAATTTCTATATGAATTCTATATGCTTGGGACTGAACAAGAGCATACATTTAAAGAGAAAATATATAGTATGTGCATTTAGAGAGGGTTGATTGTAATATAATATTATTTTAAAATATATAAAATGTTAAAATTTTTATTAATTTATAATATAAAAAAAAATAGTATCTAATATAGTAAATTTAATAATTAAAAAATATTAATATTTTATTTATTAAAAGTATTTCAAATATAAAAAATATAAATCTAA